AAGTTATATCTGGGTGTGGTGGCGCACAGAAAAAGAAAATCTTTACTGACTGAATTCCCAGAGTCTTCTAAGCTGTAAGCAGCAGGAAAACAGAAAGGTGAGAGAGCCCACCCCAGCCAGTAAGTGTACTATATCACCAGTATATTTGGGATCATGGAGGAAGACTGACTTTCACTAGGCTTTGCTACTGTTTTGAAGCCCTGACAACAGACACATTTCTTCTGACCTGCCCTCCCTGTCCTGAGGGCTATGTATAGCCTAGAAGTTTCTGTGAGCTCTGAAATATGTTGACAAACCTTTGACAAATGGGTATGCTCCCACTCTCTATAAAGGTGGTCATAAAATAGAACAGAACCAAACTACAGTACACACTTAAAACTCTTCTTTTAACCAAGCATAACAGCACAAACCTAAATCCTAGCACCTAGGAAGTAGTAGCAAGAAGACTGTGATTCTGAGACTAGCCTGGTCTACATAATGAGACTCTGTCTAAAACAACAAAACATAGTGTTGGTCGTGGCACACACCTTTGATCCCAGCACTCAGGAGGCAGGGGCAAGTGGATCTCTGTGAGATTGAGGCCTGCCTGGTCTACCTAGTGAGTTCCAGGCCAGCTGAGGCTGCATAAGTAGACCCGATCTCAAAAAAAAAAAAAAAAAAAAAGGCTGAGGATGTAGGTCAGTTAGTGGTAGAGTGTCTGCCTATCACACATGAAACCCTCAGTTTGATGCCCAGCACTGTGTAAACCGGGCATGGTGGCCCATACGTGTAATCCTGATACGAGGTAGAGGCAGGAGGATCAGGAGTTCAAGAGTTCAAGGTCATCCTTGGCTACATAGCAAATTGAGGCCAACTTAGGCTATATGAGAGCGTGTCTGAAAGAGTAGAAACAATAATAAACAAAAAATTATATTAAAAAAATGAGGTGCAGAGGCTAGAAAGACGGCTCAGCAGTTCAGAGTACTTGCTGCTCTTTCCAAGGTTCCCAGGTTTGGTTCCCAGCACCCACATGGGACAGTTCACAACTTCTTGTAACTATAGCTCCAAAGGAGCCTATCCCCTTTTGGTCTCCCCAGGCACCTGAACACACATGGTGCATACACAGATAAGCTGGTACACACACATAAATAAAAAACAAATTAAAAATTTTTAAATGAGGTACAGAAAACACAGCACAACAATTTCTTCCATTTGCATACACCTGGGACTCTGGCATCTGAATCAAGGCATAGAACACACTGTTTCCCAGGGGTCCCTGGAAGAGCACACTCCTTGACAATTGCTAATCAGAAACAAAGGTGCTTCTGATAAACTGCTAAAGAGAAGCTGTGAAGTCAGGCATGCCTCAAAGAAGTCATTCAAAAGGCCTCGGTCTGTCTTCACACAAAACCAAAAATCGAATGGGAACAGGAGATGGGCCCCACCACAGTGCCCACTGTGGGTAGTGTTCATATGGAGTGGGCAGGATTTGGCCCGATTCCTGCTCTCAAAGATTTACTCCCTGAAGGAGAAAGAGTGTAAATGGGCATACCTAATCTCGTTTGAGTAAAGAAAGGATTTCTCTAGCCTAAATGGAAGATTTAGAGGAAAGTCAATAGATGTTCAAGCACTAAAGAAAAAGCCAAGAAGATTTGAGGAACCTTTTGTGTTCCCTAAGTGCTGGCACAAAGGGTTGCCCTCATCCTCCCTGATGTCTTCCCATTAGCCTCCCATAAGGGCTATGTGGAAATTGGTGTGGACAAACTAGAAACTTCCAGAATCCCAAGGGTGCAAAGAAGATCAACTATAAAACAGATCTAGCTAAAACAAAGATGGTTCTAGGGAAAAACATTCAAGCCTACCTGAAACAAAATGAAAATTAGGGCCTAAATTGAGCACTTTACATGGGCACAGGGTTTAGCTCTTGGCCCTCAAAATAAGAATTCACATTTTACACAAGAGAAAATGAGGTTAGGTAAAAGTGAGGTAATCACCCACACCATAAAGCCAGGCAAGATGGAAATACCAGTTCCATCTGGTTGTACCTATGTTGTCACCACTTACACATGCAGTCTTTCTAGAAGATGTTCACCTGCCTGAGCCACCTCCCCCATGTTCCCTACTCACCTTGCTTCATAAAAATACAGGAAAATCTACCACCTAACCAGTGTCTCCTGTTACGTAGGAGAATGGTGATCACAAAGGTTCTAGAAAGAGCCCTTATTGTCTAATTATGACTACCTACATCTAGTCAAAACGGATGTCAGTCCTACAATAGACAGCCATCTGGCCTAGGACTCTGTGTCCCTGGGAGTAAGAGGACATTATCTGTAAAGGAGCCCCAGTGAGTGAGGAAGTGTCACAGCGTCAAGTGGGGCACGGTTCCCACTCTGTGTGAAACTTGTGTCGGCTGTGGAGGCCTGTGTGGCAACCCCCAAGGGAGAGAGAGGAAAGAGGCCTGTTCTCAGACCCACCTGACACCCAGAAAGGACCTTGCTCAGATGTCACTGCTTCCATCATTAGGTAGGTTTCCAACATCCTAGTCACAGGGTGCTAATGACATCACGGCCATGGCCGGTCAGTGCTATCTGCAACCTCCTGCACAGCTAGAGAGCTGTTTTCCAGAAACCAGACCCAGTTTTGACCCTCTACTCCAGAAGCTTCCCCCAGAAGTCAGCTGTCAGCTGCTCAATGTCAGCAACCTTTCTCTTCCTCCCCTTCCTTCCTGGCCTCTTTCCTCTCTCTGTCTCTTCTTTTTCCTGTCTCATTTCCAGCCCCTTCTCTAGACTGGCTTGTCAGCTCTGTACCTACAATCCCCAGCCCCCACCCCATCATCAGCTTGTTTACCACACAGAGTTTGCCTCTGGACTCCTCCAGGTGCCTGTCAGGAAAAAGTCAACCTGACCCAATCACATGCCCCAGAAACAAGGGGGGGGCACACTGATGGAGCCTCCAAATACACAGCCTCATCAGGTTAAACAGAGATGCCGGGGGCACCATCAAAACAGGTTGCTGCAACATTAATTTGTGGAAAGAGTTTTTCAAGTATCAAAATGATTTTCATGGAATGGGCTGGGGATGTAGCTTAGTGGCTTGCCTAGCATGCAAAGGCCATGGGTTCCATCCCCAGCACTGCAAAAACAAACAACAACAAAAAATAGTTACCATGGGAAAATGAGAACTTTGTTAGCTATTTTATTCTACAGAATGTCTATTCCACTGCAAACTGAGGGGCTGACAGGAGTCAGACTAAGGTTTCTATATCTTCAGACGGGCCTACAGGGGAACTGTGGGAACTCAGGGGACACGGGGCAGGTAGGCAGCAGGCCCAGGCTGCATCTGTTACCTTTTCCATGCGTTCAATAAGCCTGTCCAGCTCCCCGATCTTTTGGTCCCTCTCCTCCAGGCTGATCTCGGCTGCTTCCATCTTTTTATTGGCCTCTTCGATTGCTTTCAGAAAACTATTGGTTTCTTCCTGTAAAAGGAAGAAACACACCTCCTCAGAATGACAAAGATACCCAGGCAACTCATCAGGGTCTGGACAGCTCTGACCTTGCTGGGCCACGCGTGCCCTGTGACAGCATGACCTGGGGACCCATGGGTCTAACACAGAGTGAACTCAACCACCACAATGCTGGTTCTCACCTCTGAAAAAACACACTGCATGGCTTTTCTTTATTTCTGTGTGTATGCATGTGGGTGTATGTGTTGTGGTGCACATGTGGAGGTCAGAGGACAACCTCTAAGAGTCACTTCTCTCCTTCCACCATGTGAGCTTCAAGGATCAAACTCAGGCTGGCAGCAAGCGTCATTATCCTTTGAGTCATTTCACTGGCCCCTCGTGTGGCTTTGCAGTGGGCCTGGATACTTTCTCTCCTTTCCCTCCAAAACCTTCCATCCAAAAGGCATAAAAAGACCTTGTGAAGGTTTAAATAACATTGAGCAGATGCCCGGAGCATCACTGCATGTGCTGATATATAGGGAGCTGAGGCCGGATCTGAAGTGGAATGCGGCATTCCCAGATCCTCATCCCACATGGCAACGCACCGACTCCCTCCTGAAAAAGCCCAGTCATCCGGCATGTTGATTAAGCCACCAAGGACACAGGTATGCCAACTATGGCACCCTTCCTTCGAAGAATGTGTGCCTCCTGGTGAGGCTAAGATGTGAACGGCACAGCCCACCTCTATGGACACAGTTCCACAGGAAGAAGCAGAGACAGAGACCGGATTTCCCAGGATGGAGGTCACTTCTAGATATGGGAATGTCAGATTCAAAGTGGAGAGGGCGGCTCCTTCAGGCTTGGGAGAGCTATAGTATAATTCGGCAAGGGAAACAGAACTCTCAGGTTAGAAGGCGCAAACTCTAAGGAAGGGCACCAGGACATACCTGATGCTGGCAAATGGTCCCATTACCCAGGGAAATGTGTAGAGAGAGAGCTAGGGGACTATTCTAACAAGGGAAAGGAGTGAATGAGCAAACTCCCTGGTGCTGGGCAGATGGCTCAGTGAATAAAGTGCTTGTTGTGCAAGCATGAAGACCTGAGTTCAGATCCCCAGCACCCAAGTAAAAGCCAGGCATTGGGCAGTGCAGACCTGTGACCCCAGCACTATGGAGGTGGACCTGGGGCTTTCTGGCCAGCTAGTTCAGACCAAATGGTGAGCTTCAGGTTCAGTGAGAGATGCTATCTCCAAAAAAAAAAAGGTAGAGAATGATAGAGGCGGACACCCAACATCAGCCTCTGGACTCACATGCACTCATTCAGATGGGCAAGTCCACCTGCACACACAGGACCCACGAGCATGTATCATGCACTTGTATACACAGTACACACATGCATGTGACACACACCTGCATGCAGTGCGCATATGCATGTAACACACTGCACACAAAGTATACACGTGCAACACATCGGCACAGGTGCACACATGCACATAACCAACACACAGATGCACACATAGTGCACACATTCAGGTAACACACACCTACACACACAGTGCGCACGTGCACGTAATGCACAACTACATACACAGAGCACACATGCACGTAATGCACACCTGCACATACATTGTGCACATGCATACACACACACATAGTAAATAAGTAAAGTCCCTGATTCCTGTCCATATGCAGTCCAATGACTCCCCTCTAGGCATTAATTTGCCTAGTAAACCTGGCCAACCCTATCTGCCGGCCACATACGCACCAGGAGTGCCTCCTTCTCGGCATTGTGTTTCCTCTGCTCCTCCTGCAGCTTCTCCTCATACTGGCTGTACAGCTTCCTAGTCATCTCCCGCATCACCTCAGCGTTAGCTTCTTGGGATGACTCCACCTGCAAGAGACTCACTGAAGAACTGCAGCCTGTCCCCTGTGCATCTATGTGTGGCACAGAGGTCCTGAGCCCATCTGTACCTTGACCCCTGAGCAACCCTGTGTGGATACCAAGGCCATGGGCCCTTCTGTCCCTTGTCCCCTGTGCATGCTGTGTGGACGCAGAGGTCCTGAGCCTACCTGTCCTCTGTCCCCTGTGCATCTCTCTGTGGACATGAGCCCATCAGTAACTTGTCCTCTGTGCATCTCTATATGGACTCAGAGGTCCTGAGCCCATCTGTACCTTGCCCCCTCTGAGCATCCCTGTATGGATAGAGAGGTTGTGAGCCCATCTCCCAGCCCGTACCCAGCCCCCTGTGCATCTCTGTGAGGACACAGAGGTCATGAGCCCATCTCCCAGGGGTCTGTAGTAGAGAGAAGCAGCAGGCACTCATGGGGCATGGAGGGAGGAAAGGAGGATGAGGAGAAGGAGAGTGCATACAAACAAACCATAGTACTGTACACCTTTAATCCCAGCATTGAGGAGGCAGAGATGGGCAGATCTCTGTGTGCTCAAGGCCAGCCTGGTCTACCTAGGAAGTTCCAGGCCAGCCAGGCTACACAGTGAGTCTCAAAGGAAAAACAAACAAACATACATGGCATTGCACACTAAGTTATTTAGGATGATTGGGATGAAAGTGTTCCAGAGAAGAGAATTTTTCAAAAGGCCACCCTTAGGGCTGGGGAGATGGTTTAGTTGGTAAAGTTCTTGTCTTGTAAGCCTGAGGACCTAAGTTGGAGAGTCGGATCCCTAGAACCCATACAAAAATAAATGCCAGGCATGAGGGCTTGCACTTGTGAATCAGATGCCTAGAGTTCACTGACCAGACAGCCAGCCTATAAACAGCAAACCCCAGGTCCCAGCGAGAGGCCCTGCCTCAACGTCAGGTGGACAACGTCTGGGCAACTATACCTATCACTGACCTCTGCCCTATGTCTGCGCATACACAACACAAGTGAATTTTTTAAAGGTAGCTTCTCTAATCAATCCCATTCACTGCATTGGCCAATCCCATCTCTAGGTCAGACCTCAGTTAAGCTCAACTAAGAGATCTGCCTCTTTTCCCCCACTGTATGATTTTCCAACTGTTGTGCTAGGAAATACCCTGGTCTAGTAAAGGCCCCTGAGGTGAGAGTCTCTGGTGGTCTGAGCAGGGAGAGAAAAATCAGTAGAACTGGGGGTGGGCCAGGATGGGCTAGAGGGCTGGTGTCTCCTTTCTGGCCAGTCCATGTCCATGTATGGGCCTCATGCCACTAACTGCTGAGGTCTGCTCTTACCCTCCTTCCAGACCGCTGCTTGTCCCAGAGCTGAACTTGGTGCCTCACCTCCAGATGAGGGAGGTGTCCTTTGGCTTCAATAGGTTACATGGTATTTACTCTGGAGATGTAATGATTCCCTCTTAACACCCTTTAATGCTCATCACTGGGTACCAAGAAGCCACATGATAGAAATTCCCAAGCAGGGGTTATCTGTACTGCCACTACACAGGGACTGTGGGGAAGGGCTCTGCCTGAGGCCTGCTCACTCTGCATCCTAGTCGTGTGAGGTGTCCTGTGATGATTTTTCCTTTTTAATTTAGAGGGCAAAATAAAAGGAAGAGAAAAATCTCTTTAACTCCACTGGTCAGGGCCAAAACCAAGCATCAGTCTCTAAAACAGGCCACTGTAGGCTGGACTTACAGGCCTGGACTGTCAGGCTATGTGGTCATGCGTGGAGATATATCACCCCAGAGCAAACAGAAACATGCAGGATACAATAGGCTCTCAGTGAGTGCTTGTGGAATGATTAAGCAAAATTCCTGTGCTGGGGTAAAGCTTTAATTCAGTAACGTCTGACTTCTTCCTCAATAACCTCTTTTTTAATTTTCAGAATAACTCCTGATGAGAAATAGAATATATGAAGCTGTGCAAAAAAAAGAACTGCCCTGTTTGGGGGGAAGCTAAGGGTTGATCTAGTCTGGAGCTCTGTCTACATCCTACCTGAACCCCAGGGTGGCTGCGACAGCAGGACCCCAGAGGGAGTGTCAGAGAGACTGTAGTGCAATGTGGCAGCCATGGGAAAGGGCACACTGACAGGTTTCTCTGACTAAGTTATTAGGAGCTCCACCCTTTCACCCACATACTCTGGTTTAGGCAATAAGCTATACATGAATACCTTAAGGTTGTTCAGGATCCAATTTCAAAACCACAGCCTGGGGGGTAAGGACTGATGAGACCCCAGCCCCTTCCTGAAGGTTTGTACAGCTGTGTGCTGGGAGTTAGACATTTTCTTCAGTGGTGTAGCCACTGGTAAACTGTTCATGTTCCTGTAAATAAGCTCTCACCCATAGTCCCATAAGTAAGCTTAATTAAAGTCATTGGTTCATGACAGAGAGAAAGAGAGAGAGAGAGAGAGACAGAGACAGGGAGACAGAGAGACAGAGAAAACAGTAGAAGATGGGCTTGTTGGGACAAGGAAGGTGATCCACGAGAGTGGGAAGAGGGTAATAGGATTGATATTAACAAAATACATTACATACATGCACAAAAATGTCATGATAAAATTCAATATTATGATAATTCATATATGCTAATAGAAAACTTTTAACTTTTGTTTAGAAAAAGAAAAAGGGGGAGCTGGAGAGACAGTTCAATGGTTAAGAGCACTGGCTGCTCTTGCAGAGGACCCAGGTTTGGTTCCCAGCATCTACATGATGGCTAACAACCATTTGTAATTCCAGTTTCAGGAGCTCCAATGTCCCCTTCTGACCTCCATGGACATTGCATGCATGCGGTGCACTTACATACATGCAAGCAAAACACTCCCACATGGAAAAAAGAGAGAGGGTGGGGACCACAGACTTGAGTAAAAATGAATTCATTCATGAAATTTATTGAATGTCTTCTCTGAGCAATATATGTCTGTTCCTACTACCAAGCAGGCAACCTGTCTGTGGTTCAAATTTAGGAAGGATCCACTGATGCCTTCAAGGTATTAGAAGCCCAGTTAGGGAATACACATATCCCAGTAGTCAAGAGTGACAATCCCCAAAGTCCCCATCACCTTTCACCCTGAGAAGAGAGCCAGTGTCTGCGTACCAGTACTCTGCACAGACCTTTGATCTTTATTGTCAGCCAGAGAGAAGGGCTGGGGGCTTGGGACTTCCAAGAACACTCACACAGTGAAGGAAGAGCTCTCCAAAGCTTCTGAGTGCATTCTATACCTGGGGATGTCCGACTGGCCTTCCCAGTAACATAACCACTATGTCATGGTGACTTCTCAGTAGCCTTTGAGGCCACTAGAGGCCAAGGAAGGAGTGTCCAAAAGGAGCATTTGTGGAGCACCCCTGCTCTGGATGGACACTAGTGAGCACAGACACCTCAGTACCTTCAGATCATGCCTGGTGGGTTCGAAAGACTAAAATAAAAGAGAGTAAGGAGCGGGAGATGAAGAGGTGAAGATGAGAAGGAAGAGAGAGGTCGGTGAGAACTCAGGCCAACAGCTTTACCTTCATCTTCAGTAACTGGTTTTCAACCTGAGCCGCCTCTAACTGCCTCTGCTTCTCCCGTAGCTTGTCCATGGATGCTTCATAAGTCTGCTGCAGATTTCGGATTTGATCCTTGATGTTGCTATTTTCCAAGGTCACATCCACAAGGGTTTTCTATTTGGTAAAGATTGAAAATTCAGTTCTAGTGGTGACAGAACACATGGCAGGGATACACACCCTTCTGTCACACCACGCGGCTGTCAGGAAGGGCCCCGGGACCTCCCAGGATGAAATGGATTAAATGGAGTCTTTCCAAGGAAAAAAAAATTCATAATATATTATTTCATATGGAAAATAAAACCAGTGGAAAGCAGTAAGCACAGTACAATCCCATTTATAAATCCAAATCCATGATAGTTTTCATAACATAACAGAATTAGGGATATTGATTTTTCTTCTTAAAATTGTTCTGTCGGGCTGGAGAGATGGCTCCGCAGTTAAGAACACTTGCTGTTCTTCCAGAGGACCCAGGTTTGATTCCCAGCACCCACATGTCAGCTAATAATTGTTGTAACTCCAGTTCCAGGGGATCTGACACCCTTTCTGGCTCTGCAGGCACTGCACATATGTGGTACACTTACATACATTCAGGCAATACACTCAAACACATAAAAATAATAAATAAGATACTTTTTACAATAAAAATTTTCTCTGTCATTCCCATATTCCCACAGGGAAATCTGAAAACAGAATGTGAATTTCTTAGAATAAAGACAGCTCCTCTTTTCTTAAAAGGGCTCCACTTCTGCGCCTCTAGACTGCCTGTCAGGATAGAGACACCACCACCAAGGTGTTTCTAATGCCCTCAAGTGCTTCACCTCCCTCCCTTGGGCAGTAATAAGAGTAATAAGCAAGTACTCAAGAATAAAGTTCAACAACTTAGACAAGTATCAAGAGCCTGCTGGGGTAGAGGTGGAGCTGAGTAGGCAGAGAGCTTCCTTAGCATGTACCAAACCCGGGGCTTATTCTCCAGCACTGCATAAATGAGGTGTGGTAGCTCAGGCCTGTAATCTCAGAACTAGGAAAGTAGAGGCAGGAAGATCGGCTGTTCAAGATCATCCGAGGCTACATAGTGAGTTTGAGGACAGCCTGGGCTACATGAGCCCCTGCCTGAAAGAAAAAAAAAATTGTTGATTGCTACTACAATCATCCACTGGAGCAGAATTACTTCAATTCGTATTGTTGCTATTTGTTGTTTCAGTTTCTGGTTGGTTAATGTCCTTCAAGAGAAACGGCTTCCATACATCTCAGAATTTCCACCCCTGGACACTGGGTTATGGGCATCTTCTGCGATCTTCCCAGGTCATCCACAACTTCAAGTCAGAATATTTAGAGCCTGGTGCTAGACACAGTGTCTATCATCTTTGTCCCTTCTGTTAAGATGATTGGCCTCTGAAGGTTCCCCCACCCCTCTGCCTCCTCTATGGACAATATAAGCCTCTCACTCCTAAGCCCACTTGAATCACTTTAGGAACTATCTGTGGAGGAGATTAGGTCTTAAGGAAAATGCTGAAGCCACTGGAAGCATGTTAGCATCCAGGGCCTTCAGGAGACAGCTAGCCCAATGTCCATCTCCAAGCCCTTCTGTGAGACAGTGGATACTGGTCTTTTGTCCACACAAAACTTAAAGTCTGGACAAAGATACCAGGATTACTCCAATCCTGGATCTGCCACTAGCTGTACACTTTATGTCACTGACCTCACTGACCTCAGTCTAGCCACAAAACACAGGAGTTGGGGACCATCTCCACAGCTCTTTCTAGCTCTGACAGTCTATGAAATGAAGCCAAGAGTCTGGTCTTTCTGTCAATAATGACCATGGGTGGAGCAGACATGTGAATGATGAGATCTTGCACAAATAAGAAGCCAATGGCCTTCAGATGGGATCGTTGGTTAAATCTTCTAGTTATAAGACTCTTGGCTGCCCAGGACTAAGAGACTGAGGGTCTTTAGTTTAGCACTAACCTGGTTCTAATAGCTGACCTCTGAGGTAAATGCCTGAAGTGTCAGCCAAACAGCAAGTTAGAAGAATTTGCCTGAAAATACCTTTTTAAAACTTATTTTATTGCCAGGCATGGTGGCGCACGCCTTTAATCTCAGCACTTGGAAGGCAGAGGCAGGCGGATCTCTGTAAGTTAAAGGCCAACCTGGTCTAACTAGAGAGTTCCAGGCTAGCTGGGGCTACAGGGAGACCCTGTCTCAAAAAAAAATTTTTTTAATTATTTATTTTATGTGTATGTATGTGTGTGTAATATCTGCATGTGTGAAAGTACATCCATGTTGTGCAATGCCCACGGAGGCCAGAAGAGGCCATCAGATTCCCTGGAACCAGAGTAACTGAAGGTTGTTAGCTACTATGTGGGTGCTGGGAACTGAACCCAGGTCTTCTGCAAGAGTGTTCTTAATCACTGAGCCATCTCGCTAGCCCTGAAAATACTTTTTTTCCCCTGAGACACAGTACAGATACAACCAGGTCTGAATTCAGGTGAGACAAAGCCCTCTCTGATGGGCTGGGGGTAAAACGGAATGGGAGAGGGAAGGGAAGAGGGCCCTGGCCAAGCTCCCTTGATGACAGGAGGAAGGGAAAAGGCTCCTGAATAAAGCAGGGGTTTGGCCTGCAGCCAGGGGGTAGCTGGCATACACAAAAGAGAGCCAGGAAAAGCGTGACTGAGCTCCCTGCCCCAGAAACAGGCATCCCAGACAAACCCAAACAGCCCCGCCTGCCCAGCTGCTGGATGGTGGCCGAGCTTTGTTGTCTCTGGGGCGCCATCAGCTGTGGGGAGAACACTGGGTTGTGGGGGAAGTGGAGAAGCCCAGTGTGAAAATCTGTTTGCTTATCCATGAAATTATTTACATAGGACCAGAAAGGATTGGAAATAAGTTGATTGAACTCTTTTAGAGGAACATAAAAAGATAAGCCAAGTAACCTCAGAGAACCACAGAAACTATTGTTTATAATATTTGGTAAGTAAGGCCAGTGGAAGAGATTTCAAGTGAAGAGAAGCTTTGCTTTGAGCATCTTCAAATTAAGCTGCATGCTGGGCAGGGGACTACTTGGGGGAGGGTGGGGGAGGGTAAGAAGTGAAAGCACTTAAGCGGCACTTCTGAGCAAATCAGAATGATTAAGAGGACAGTCCCTTGAAGGGGGCTGGTAAAAGTAGGAGTCGGGGTCTTTTTTTCTCCTTCTGGTAGTGTACATCTTTTTTTGGAACATACACAATTCTTTCTAATACAAAACAGTTTCTAAACTTAAAAAAGTGCCTACTGTGGGAGCTACTGTCCATGCAATGATGCAGATTGTCTTTGGGTAGGTATGCCTTTTCTGTAACTGAGTGGCACTTCCTGAAGCACCTGGGATACAGGAAGGAGACAGCTGATGTTGTACAGGCAAAGACACAGGAGACCACTCAGATGCCTAGGGAGCAAGTGACATGACCAGCCCATAGCCATAGATGCTTGACAAAGGTTCAGCATTTCAGCTGGAAACATTTCCTCCTACATCTCTCTCACCTCCCTGAAACTGTCTTTACTGTAGCTGCACTTAAAGGACCAGGAATGACCACAGGACATTCTGTGACTTTTCTACAAAGAATAGCCCCAGTCCTGGTTAAGCTTGGCTGCCCTGTGAGAACAGACGAATACCTGCAGGCCAATGGAGTCTGATGCTAAGGCTGAGTTCATGGCATTGAAGCTGTCCAGAGCTGACGACTGGGTTTGGATGTGACTCTCTAGGTAGTTCTGTTGAGCATGAGAAACCTGTACAGGAGGAGATAGTAAAAATCAGTCCACAGCTGCTCCAGAGAGGCAGAAAGCTAAGAGCAGCTCCGTCTACCTAGAAATAAAATACAGTAAATAATAATAAAATGAAATAATAGCTGGGTGTGGTGGCACATGCCTTTACACCCAGCACTTGGGGGACAGAGGGCAGGAGGATCTCTGTGAGATCCAGGCCATCTGAGGCTACAGGGACACACTGTCTCAAAACAGCAAGAAAAAAAATTAGTAAAACTATAGATTAAAAAAACAACAACTGGGAGCTGAAGAGACGGCTCACAGGTTAAGAGCACTTACTGCTCTTGCAGAGGATCAGCATTCAGTTCCCAGCACCCATGTCAGGTAGTTCACAACTGTCTGGAACTCCAGTTCCAGGGGTACCCAGTGCCTCTGGCCTCTACAGGCACCTGCATTCAAATACACACACATGCACACACACACACACATAATTAAAAATAATTTTTAAAAGTTTTTAAAACCAATATCTGGGGCTGGGGTGCTAGCTCACACAGGAAAGAGCTTTCCATGCAAGAAGAAAGACCTGAATTTGATCACAAACACCAAAAAAAAAAGAAGAAAAAAAAAAAGCCAGATGTGGCAGCATTCATTTTAAAAATGTTTTTATTATTTTTATTTTATGTATATGAATGCATTGCTTGCAATGTATGTGAGTGCACCCATGTTGTGCTGTGGCCACGGAGGTCAGAAGAGGGTATCAGATCCCCTGGAGCTGGAGTTATGGGAGGTTGTTAGCTGCTATGTGATTGCTGGGAATCAAACCCAGGTCCTCTGCAAAAACAGCCAGTGTTCTTAACCAATGAGCAATGCAGCTCTCCAGCCCCAGGCAGCAAGCATTTGCAATCCCAGCCCTTGGGAGGTAGAGACAGATCCCTGAAGCTCATTGGCCTGCCAACCTAGCCTAGAGATTCCAAAACAGTGAGAGACCCTGTCTCAAAAAAAAAAAAGTGGATGGCACTTGAGAAATGACACCCGAGATTGACCTGTGACCTCCACATTCTTGTGCAAATGCACATAAACACAAACACACACAAGACATCTGTGCGACTATAGATTAGAAAGGCAAGAATACTTTTCTTTTGTACAGAACTTCCTGTTCACCCACAGAGGCTCACAGCGCTACTATGCGGGAGTCACAATGTGCCCTTTACAGGGTAAAAACAGAATCAGAGACAAGTGATCTGCTCCCAGGCCAACAGCTCAGAAGCAGCACAGGCAAAGAACTCAGCTGGAACCACACCTGCCCTTTGCTCTCACCACAGAAGGCATACAGTTTAGGCTTGTCTGAGTCTCAAGGGTTGCTCTGTTGCTGTTGTTGCTGTTTTGTTGGGTGTGTGTTTAATAAGAAAGTTTCCTCAGGGGCTAATGTTGAACTAGACCTTAACAAGGCACAGACAAGCAGGAAGGTGGCAGAACCGAAGGTTGGGGAGTCTCAGGAAGGCTCAAAGTGGACCCTGTGTAGCCTGTGGGGAAACAGCCCAGCAGGACAGAGCAGGGGGTGGCCCTGAGCGGGGAGAGGCTCCCTCTTGCTCAGGGCATGCACTTCTGTTCAGGGGTATGTTTGTAGGGCAGGAATCAGATCCTAATCCAGCTGCAGTTACAGGGTGATTTAGGGAAAGGAGAGACTAGGCAGAGCGCCATGTTCCTGGGACAGTTCTAGCATCAGAATGGAAGACAAGTAGGAGAGGGTTCTGGAACACGATGGGGGGCCTTGTTTACATTTATATTGCAAATTCAGACCTTGGGTTTTGAGGACACTCACCAGTGACCATCAGGGCTGGCAGGTGGATTTCCATAAGAGGGTGGGAATGTCACCCAGCTCCTCCTCCATGCCAGTGAATGGGTGAGGTGGGTGCTCAGGTACACACCAACTCTGATAATCAAAGCTATGGTCCTACCAAAGGAAACATTTCACAGCCTGGCCACAGGTGAGCCCTCAAGGCAGGCTGCTGTCACTAGCCTTTTTGCTGAATGCTGACTTTCATGGAAGGTATGTCATATATGCAAAGAAAGACTCTTTGGGACTGTTAATAACTTGGATACCTTTTAAGTCCCATGAACATTCACTTATTAAATTATAGGAAGGTTGTTTCCTTAAATGTTTGAATAGGTAACTGAATTCACAGGATACCAACATTTTAAAATGTATCAAAGGTACACACAGAAATAGATGTCCTTTCATTCCAGACACATCTGGCAGGCTACCACCCTGCCTCTGCCCTCATCCCCCAAGACCACAGAGAATCTCTGTCTAGACTATCTTTCAGAAAACTCTTGCATCCACATAGGACAATTCTGATATAGTTATTTTCTCTTCTGGTTTTAGGTAAATAGTAGCTACCAAGCCTGCACTTTGCTTTCACAACCACATTTAGTGGACTGGAGAGAAATAACATAATCTGCTTTCTTCCTCTTGATGAGCATTTCAGTTACCAATCTTTCTACTTTCACCAATGATGTTGTTTAAAAAAAAAAAAAAATAGTTCAGGGTTGAGCACAGTGGCACATACCTTTAGTCCTGGCCCAGGCAGATCTCTGTGAGTTTGAGGGAGGCCTGTGCTACAAGATGAGACCCTGCCTCAAAAAAAAAAAAAAAAAAAAAAAAAACACCTCAAAAAAAAAAAAAAAAAAAACCCCAAAAAAGAAACCCTACCTGCTCTTCC